TGGTAATCACTGGTAATCTGTGGTAATCAATGGCAATCTTTCGTAATTTCTGGTAATCTTTTGTCAGTGGTAATCTTCGGAAGCCCTTGGTAATCATGGGTAATCTTTGGTAATCTTCGGTAGTCTCTGGTAATCCTTGGTAATCATCACTTTTTGGTTATCAGGTGTACACGATTTTTTCGAGTTGGGCACCCCTCGGCAATATGTGACACTTCACATTTGATTCAATGTGACATCACGGTCAGTGAAAAAATGCCCATGTCGGCCGCCTTGTACGACTAACACAAAATGTACATTTTTTCCACATCTAGATGATAGGTAACTCCACTTTCTGGCGTTTCTCACCTTGTGGGCAGGGTAGTTTACGACGGTGGAACACAGGAAGGCACGTGGCACAATGCCTGAAGAGGTTTGGGGAGAGGGGGAAGGGCGCTCACTGCGCACGCAGCCCCGGCGCCTGGCCGGCTGGAGACGCGCGAATCGCTCGTTTCCGGTGTTCATCGACAAAAAGCGGAAATAACGAATAATATCGGCTGCGAGCGCGCGAAATAGCCGTGCTGTGCTGGTGCTGCTGTCGGCGGCTGCGGCGGGACCGCGAGCCCAGGTGTCTTGCAGTGTTCGTTGTGCCATGGAGGGACGGACGGGAGGCCCAGGCACCTCACTAGCCACTCCATGTACGGCCACGGCAACCCCGCCAGCACACAAATCATTTCAACAGTGTATTCGCTCAGGGCCCGGCCGGAGAGAACTGCATGGGCGGGCGGCGGAGCGACAAAATTAAGCCTCATCGTGAGGTGTGTGTGCATGTCGAGTCCAGCTCTCTGATGGCAAACGTGCCCCTGGCACGATGCAAGGCACCTACATGAGCGAGTGTTATGCCAGAAAGAGGGAGAGAGGGGCCCAGTGCGTCAGTGTGGGTAACCAGTTCGGCTGCTGCGCGGCTGCAGCTAGCGGCCGTTCATGGGAGATCTGTCGTGGCGGCTCATGGCTCACGGCATACCTCCTTGTGCGCTGCTCGGCGCGTATTCTTCAAGTTACACAGCTCCACTCCGCGCGCTTGTCCCCCTGTGCGGCTGCATTTTACTGCTGGGGCCACTCATCCCATTTGGGGCGCGGCGCTTTTGGGCTAAGTAGGGCGAGCCCCCTAGAGGCGCCTGCAGACTCCAGGGGCGCGCGGGAGAGCTGGCCGGGCCGGGCTGGCGCAACGCACCACTTTGTATGAGCGGATTTTATTGTATAATAATTGTCGCCGTGCGGTGTGGTGTGGCGGAGCGAGGCACAGAGCGACGCCCCGCCCCGCAACACCCCGCCGCACCTCGCCACGCCCGGCCACGCCCTCCCACACGTGGGTGGCGTACGGTATGCAAGGAGGGCCCCGACCTTTGTGGCCCCCATCGGGTCTCGAACCCACACCGTTTTACATTTCGACATCGCTCCCTTGCGATCACAGCGACTTGAATATGAATCACTCGAGGAAATGGGATAAGGACTCTAGTCACAAACTATGTTTGAAGAATTTGGCAATCTTGCATGCGAAGAGCTCACAAAGTTTGAAGTGGGTAAAGGTCCACTATCTACCAATATTTTTTATTTTTCTTGTTATTGGTTTCGTACCGCATGAAGCAAAACCCCTTTTTAGATTAACGTTATCGCAGCTACACCAAAAAAACAGAGTTTCTGTACCAAGTACATTGCACTTAATACTTGATTTTTTAAGTATATGTGTCTTCGAGGGGGCAATAACTCCGGGAATCATGTGTACACCTGTCTGGGAATCATCAGGATAAAAATTGATCAAAATCAATAGAAATCGCTTAGAATAAGCGGGAAACTAGAGAAATAAGTACAAATCAGTCAAAATAAGAGTTTTATACCACTAAAACCCCCCGAAAAACCTATGTAATAATTAGAAGCGGACGGGAATCACCGGGAATCAAGAATTTCGGGAATCATGTGAACACTTCAAAGGGAGTTATTGCCCCCTCGTGTGTCTTGATTCAAGTGATACTAAATAAGCTTCGTTTAATTAATGATCGAGTGGATCTTGTAAACGATTCTACAGTATTAACCG